CACACACACACACACACACACACACACACACACACACACGCACACACACACAGACGCACACACACATACACACACACATACACATACACACACACATACACCCCCACCTTTCCTGTTCACTTCTTCGTCTGTGATGGCAATTTGAGCATCTATTTATCTATCTATCTCTCTGTCTTTCCGCCTATCCAGTCTACTAGTCAAATCGTAGCATCCCTTATCCCTCCTACTGTCACCCCCGCACATTTACACATATTGTTTTTTGCATTCTTTATTGATCTTACCGCTCCTCACATTTTTCCCGAGAATGCTCAAGTGCCTTTTTGATAGATGATCATTCATTGTCTCTCTGGTCATCCTTTTGCTCAGTCTAATTATTAACTCTCTGTTGATTCCGTTATGCTTTCTTGAAGAATTATAGTAAAGAAGCTTGGTTTTCTTCTGTTAAAAAAAATTATTATTCATTATCAGCTTTTTACTATTCCTACTGTTACTATTATTAGTTGATTGACTTATCATTCCATCATTTTTCCTGATGTTTTACTTACTTTTTTTCCTGACCTCTGAGCTCATCTCATTAATCATTCCACTAATAATTAATTATTCATCAACTGTTAATGTCACAGCATTTGTTTGCCTGCTTTATTTCCATTTCAAAGTCATAAATCGGCTAATTATCACTAAGCTTTTGAAATTTTGCAATATAAAGCTCTTCACCATCCTCGGTCGAGCGTTCTCATCGTAGGTAAAGAAGGCCTACTCTGATCTGTTCCGCTCTAATCATCCCCAAGTTTCGACGACGTGTCATTTGCAGAGCTTTAAGGACAAAGCGTTAAGCGTTATCATTCGCATTTCATATTTCGTCTTCGCTTCCCTTCTCTCAAATTCCATTCTGCGACATTTATTGCTTATCATCTGGCCAAGATAATTATGATCTAGTGAGGCAAATTAACGCGAATTTGATACTGCTGAATTTGAGGCTTATTTCCTTCATCAACCAGAAAAAAAAACTAATTAAAGGATATGGTAAAATCCATTTTCTAGTGGAACTTTCATAAAAAGTCCACGCAAAAATTCGAAAGTATTCCACAGCTTTTAGCATATCTAAATATACCTCAGCACTGTGTTGCCTTATCAGTATTAAGCTCTTACCTCGTGCTAATTTGCCGATAAGTTATGATGTCACGTGTGTGTCACCTTGTTTACACCGCTTCCTTTTTTCTGCCAGCCTTATGGAAGCATGTATGTTATTGCACATTTTACCGCTAGTCTTGTTTGAGTTGACTTAATTAAACATAGATTAGTTCGAAATTTTAAGCATAGATTGAGAAGACTTTTCCTGCGCATTGATTAATTGTTATCACCGAAATAATTGCTGTTTGTATTCATTCCATAGCAGATTGCGTACTTTTTCTCACATTCTTCATTGTTTTCGATCTCCTTGCCAAAACAACAAAAAAAAAAAAGAATAAGATGAGAATTCTGGCGGTGATTTGATATAATATGAGATTATATGGTAATTAGTGATTTTCAATTTCTTTCATCTTTCTTTTAACCTGATTGGCTGTTGTACCAATTGCATTCAAGATGTTCCATAGGTAAATAAATTTGTTTTCAAATGAATATTTCATAGAAGGGAAATTAAAATATTGAAATTTTCCAACTTTATTTTTTATTATATGCGAGAAATCGGTACATTTGATGAAAGCAGTACATTTACGCCATAGCCAGGCTATGTAATGATTATTCTCGGATGTCTGCTCATCAAATATGTCATGAAATCTCTTGGAGATGTGTGTCTCTCTTAGGTAGCTATCAGCAATGATGTCATGTGTGAAAGTTGCAACACCGAATGCTAACTCACAATCTAAATGATTTTATGGCATGCCGAAAGATGCTACATCCATTATTTTGACTGATAAAATTTGAGCGATAGGAAAAATCGAGGGTTTTGGCAGTGGTTTTATTCAATAGTTATGAAAAGTACAGGTAGAAAAGGTCCCAGAATCTACCATAGCCTGTTGAAAATTTCGGTTACCCATGACAACGAGGAAGACGATCTATCGCTTAATATGGACCTTCCCATAATTGTTAATTGTTGTAGAGAAATTGGGAAGCAAACAACTGTTGCTATGTTGCTACGGGTACAATGAACACATTAATCTTGCCTTGATAAAAACAGCTCTCAGGTATAAGATGTCCAAAAAATAATGTTGAATAGGGTTTCTCTTATCAATACTATCCAGTATTACTCTTTTTGAGTCAAAAATTTCGCTTATCAATATCGACAAATTTCTTCAAGGTGAGGACTGTGATTTCTTTCTTGGACAAAGTAGGAGAAAAAATAAGATCAATGTAAAGGAGCCAAAGGGTTTCAATGTGAGAGAGATATCAGACAAAAAAGATGACAAGAAATGTAACGAAATGTACTTGTTCTTTCATCTGTGAAATCATTTCAAGAGAAGAAACAGTAATTTGAATTTCAAATTTCATGTAATAATGAGCTAACAAGAAAGAATTCTGTTTATTTGAGCTCAAATGAGACGATCGGCTTTTGCTTCCTTTTCGCCAATTACGAAAGGATTGTGGATAGAGAAGAGATGCTGGAAGTTTCTGTAAACGAAGTGATATGTGCGCAGTCAGTTTCCATATACAATTAAAAAAAGGTTAAAGATTTCTTACATATTTCTTGGTGGTAAGAACTTGTGCTACAAAAATAGAAATGGAGAATTTAAATTAATTATTCCGATAAACATCAAAGTGCTGCTGCATGGATGACCAAATAATATCAGTTAATCTATCAAAATAGTACTCGATCACAACAGGCTTAATTAATGAAAGTACCTGCGATTAACTCACAATTGATTGATAATGGGATTGTAAACGTCAGAAGTTTTCACTTTAGCCTGAAGAGAATTTAATTTGCCATTTTTAATAAAAAAGAAAAAAAGATGTGAATCAGTATTTTCGATTTTTCTGTGATATTTAATTTTATGAAACAGTAAATTCTAATCTTATATCAGCTATCGAATGTGATTTGGTCCTATCTATCAATCAACCAAGTATTCCGTCATCTCTAAGAACATTTATTCTAAAATAAAAGAAAGTTAGTTTTAGAGTAGAAATAGCTTGTGGTTGAAGGAAAATTTGGGAACTGGTCGAGAGATATTATCTTTTTTATTTCATTGATTAATGGATAATATAATTTGATCCGATCCTTCCTTGTTATGACTGGAAAGACAGATGATACATGAGTAAGAGAGTAGAAGAGAGAAAGAAATTCACATTTCCCGCGGTCGTAACTAAAAGAGGACCTATTATACATATGGTTTTTTATTGTGCTAGAAACAATACAATGACAAATAAACTATCCCTTTGAAGCCAAATAAACTATCCCTTTGAAGCCTTTAGTCGCTCTCAGGTCTACTTTAGTGAATCTCTAAGAATGTAATGTTCCACATGATCTTTGATAATCTCTTCTCAAATCTCGACCTCTAGTAAACCATTTTTAGAATCCACAATTATCGATTACCTAGGTCGAGTTTCAAGAAACGCTTCGTGGCTTTTTATATTCAATAGTATTTCTTTTAAAACACACTGGTTAGTCTTTAACACTCCTACTTATAATTTCTCTCGTATAGTGATTAGGTAAAAATCCCCTCAACTTATTGATGTGGCCACCAATAACTTAATGTAAGAGGACTGGCTATGATTTGCTCTTTTAAGCTAACTGAAATCGGGAATTACGCAACGTTTTAGCATCATAGACTGGGATACCGAACATCTTTAAATGATTTATTATTTAGATATCTTCAATGTATATTTTTGAGCTTCAAGCAAGCAATTTCGACAAATCGTAATATCACGGGAATTTTGACAAATGTGAACTCTATAGAGCTGTTCTGAGTTGGACATTTGGCTTGTACTGGCAAGTATGTTTAATTTCGGTGCATTCAGATTGCTTCGTAAACTGAAGGATAATTTTGAGTGATACGGATGGAAGTAATGCTTCAATTGCTGTTTAGAAACAACAGGCTTCTTCAGATTATTTGCATCTCGTAAGAGGAATTAGAATGAAGTCGTGAGATATAACATAAATATTTAATGAATTATTCGGCAGATAATTTGTTCATGAAGCTGAAAAGTAGATCGTAACAGTAGTTAATAAATAGAATCAATAAAATAATAATGCTGTGCAATTTTTACCGAAAAAAAAAGATTGTAAAAATTAAACAAATTGAAAAAATGAACAAATTCCTTCGAAGCGATCATTTTGTTCTCAATTTATTAAAGTGAATTTTAAAACTTTAACTGGAGAATTAAACTGTGAAAAGGTGTAGTAAGAGATTACCTTTGTTAGTTAATATCTTTGCATTTATTGAAATTAAAGCTAATTAAAAATGATTTCTAATACGACATTACAATTTGATACTTTGATAACTTCTGGAGTAATCTGAAAAAATGGAAATGAGAAAAGGGATAAAAGAAAGATGATAAAGGAGGAAGGATAAGAGGGGAAAACATGCTTGAAATTGATTCCATTTTTCAGCCAAGTACGTTTCCACGTAAAACGTCAATATTAATTGATAACAATAACAACAGTAAGTTGAAACAATATAAAAATCAGTTGAATGCTTACATTGAATATTACTGTAAAAAAGTGGACGATGTAAAATGTATTGTTGACAGCGAAATGGAAACAATCGTGGCGCATTGAACTATCAAGGAAGTTGAATAATATAATTTCATATTTCACAAAAATTTCCAATGGATACTAATCAGGTAGAGGAAATATTGTAAAGAGAAATATAGAAAAATGAAACTGTTAGTGTTAATCCATTAGAAGTTATGCGATGTGGAAAGTATGATTAGGATAGACTGTTGAAATGAATGGGATTTTAAATGAGAGAAGATAAGGTAACTTTCCGATAAGATCAAATGACAAACAGTAATTAAGAGTTAAAATGACCAGGCCAATTATGCAAATGGGCTATGTAATTCTGATAAGATGACCATTGGCTTGTTGATTTTCTCTTCCAAAAGCTTAAAGGTAAGACCATCAACGACATATAATTTGATCCGAAGTACTCTTATCAGATTGATGAACTCATTAAATTTTGTCAACCACTCTGAATCATTTAGCGGTCAATTGAAATTTCTTTCATCGTATGTGCTTTGGTTATTTCTTTTCAATTAATGTTTTGTTTAATTAATTTCTATGCTCTTTATTCTTATATATTCGTATATATACAGTTATATATTAACTTTTGATATTTATGTTTCATGATAGTTTTACATCAAATTCACGTGTTCTTCCTACAACTAAACATTATTGTTATCAATTATGGTTGGCATTTAAGCATTGAAATATTTTGGAAATAAATGATCAATAAGGAATTTAATTACGGTTTATAGAGAGAATGATGTTATATGTAAAATGAGGATAACTTTTTTTCCTGAAAACATTTCATACAATAAACTTGTCTTTGATCATTAATTTATGTCACCATGATTGTTGGAATTGAGGTATTTCCATCTGTCACACTCTTGCTATAATCTACCAATTTCCTTTTTCGCTACTCCGTAATTCAGCATACGATAATCTTTATTGACTGATTTTTTAATGAAACTCTTACAAACTATCCGTCAATTAAATTTGATCATTTTGCATTACAAATGATTACCCATGTTTATCTACACTTAATTCTATCTGATGCATCAATCAGATGACAATCAGAGAAGCTATCATTAAAAGATGCGGCTTATACCATGATTGTTGGAATTGAGGTATTTCTATCTGTCACACTCTTCCTACTCCCACTTACACTTTGCATACGAAATATCTGATTAGCGAGTGCTGAGAACAACTTATCTTTTGCTTGAAAAAAGAGAAAATTTCCTATGAAATCTTGCTATGAAATAACCTTTTGATTAATTTCAGTTGAATTCAAGAAATGGAAATGACCAAAGCAGTCAGAGTGGTTACTTTTGAAGTTTATTAGGACAAATGCTTCTTTGTATGATACATGAAAAAGCAGAAAGATTATAGAGATAGGAGCCGAAAGAAATTTATCCTACTTCATCCATCTGCCGAGGATGCTCCGGTGCATTGGCATGGACCGATCCAGAACAGGTTTCAACTTCAAGACAATCGACCGGCATATTTCGGTTTCAGAGCGTCAGCTGTGAAATGAAATTTAATCAGAATTGGTGCATCCAGCTATTAGTTATGCGGGTGGAGATAGAGGTCGAGGTGGAGGTCGTTAGTGGCAGCCTTTGCTTAACTACTAATAATGCCTCCTCCTACATATCGACACATTTCGTCTGAGCTACACCTCCGTTCGTTAGGTTTTGCTCAATTTACTCACCTTCTCCTCACTTTGTGGTATTGCAAGCGATCGATCTCCCAAAATCCATCGATGGACGCGTAACAACTAATCATCTCATTGTCTCCCTTATCACTTAATAATTGCAACAAAATGAGATATGATAATTCACAACACACCGAATCTTTAACAATTTATCATATCTATTACATAACAAACATTATTGTACACTAAGTATTAGATGCATATCATATCAGGAAAAAATATTTGATGAAAATATTATTTAATTCGAGTACCCATTTCTATTATTTAAAGTATTATTACGTTTATTTCAAATATGAATTCGAATGTTGTCAGAATGAATTTGTTAGATTTAACTTTGAAATAGCTATTATTATTTGACATCCTGATAAGCCTGTGATAAGTCAGTAGATTTCATATACTATACAGTATAGGTATCTCTTTTTCAAGTTACATAAAAAAATAAATAGACGTACCATTTGGATGATAATGTACAAATGTTCATAACAGTAATTACAATACTCGTACGAAA